GAGAATGAGGAAGTAAGGAATTGAGGAAGTAAGGAAAAGTGAAAAAGTAAAGAAGTGAGAAAGTATAAACGTAAGGAAGTAAGTAAGCAAGTAAGGAAGTAAGGAAGTAAAGAAGTAAGGAAGTAAGGGAAAGTGAAGAAGTGAGAAAGTATGGAAGTAAGGAAGTAAGGAAGTAAGGAAGTAAGAAAGTAAGGAAGTAAGGAAGTAGGGAAAAGTGAGGAAGTAAGAAAGTGAGGAAGTAAGAAAGTGAGGAAGTAAGGGAAAGTGTGGAGTAAGAAAGTGAGAAAGTATAAATACATGTAAGCAAGTAGATAAGGAAGTAAGGAAGTAAGGAAAAGTGAGGAAGTGAGAAAAGTATGGAAGTAACGAAGTAAGGAAGTAGGGAAAAGTGAGGAGGAGGAAGTGAGGAAGTAAGGAAGTGAAGAAATAAGGAAAAGTAATGAGGAAGTAAGGAAGTAAGTAAGGAAGTAAGGAAGCAAGGAACTGAGAAAGTAAGGAAGTAGGGAAGTAGGAAAAAGTGAGGAAGTAAAGGAAGTTGGGAAGTAAAGAAGTAAGTAGAATAGAAGATCCCTAAAAATGACAACGGCTTCCAAGGGACTCCTGCGAGCCCTGGGAGCCTCCTGATGTGGGGCCTCGTTTTGCCCTTCTGGGCTCATGTTGGATGTATTTCAATTCTGTTTATGCCACAGAGGTTTTTCGGGGAGGTGATGAAGCTTGTGAGTCTGGGAACTCAAGTTGAAATCGAAGGGTTGAACCCTTGGCAGTTGCGTCAAGGCGCTTGCCTTGCAAGAACGCGTCTTGTGTTTTCTTAGCCACCAGACGTCTAGCCCTTGGCTCTTTCCCAGCCAAAGATGACTGTGCCACTGCAAAGGGATGGGGAAATGCTCTGCTTTTTTTCTCAGAGGGCACTTCAGTTGGAACGTGCTAAAACCAAGAACCCTCCCACATAGTTCATTGCCTTTTGACCTTGACATCGTCCCAAGGGGGGGTCCTAGTATTGACCCAAAAATGTCTCCACCGATCTATTCATCCAACGTAAAGACTATCCAAAGGGATTTTGGCAGGTTTGGCAAGTCGAAACCTTGGGTGGCGCTTCCTTGAACCAGGGTGGTCCTTGCGTATGGGCGCAAGAGAGATCCTGAACTTTGACCAAGGAGGTAGTCTTAAAAGACAACCCTGCTTTCAACCACTGCCATCATGTACTGGTGAGCTGACCCCTGGGAATGTGCCCCAACCATCTGCCGCGGCCATTTTGGACATTTTTCAAGAACCTTCGGCCAACAAAACACCTGCATCTTGGCAACAAGGCTGGGAACCACCCAAGTTGCAGGTGTTTATATCTTCCAACGCTTCCTATCCACCTGCATCTTTCCCATGCCCATGCCAAAAGGGAACCCCACCCCCCCCTCACCAGACCCAAAACCTCACATCACCGGCCCCAGAACCCCAGGGTTGTTTTTTTCGTCGGTCCGGGGCGCAGCAGCGGGCCCATGGAGCTGCGGCGGAGCCGCCCGGGCGCCAGCTCGATGACCCCGTAGGGCACCATGCCGCTGACCTGCGGCTTGGGCCAACCAATCCATGGCTCACGTTGGGAGGGGAAAAACGGTGCCATGGGAGCCGCCCGGACATGTTCCAAAGGGGAAAAAAACAAAGGGAAACCAACCAATTTAGAAAACCCTTCAGTTGAAAGGGAATATAGGTGTCCCTGAAGTTCAGAAAACGCTCAGCGGGGTTCGCTGCGCCAACCAAAAGCCGGCTTTCTCAAGCACAGAGATGCCCATCCCATATGCTCTGGGGATCAGACCCGGCCTAAAAGTGTCCCATCGCCCGAGATACAGCTGAGGTCGTTTGGACTGGTGATTTGCTCTGGACCCTAAACCACAAAGGACTCCAAACTCCGCGCCAAATACGCAGAAAGGCCTGCCCCTCCTCTACAAATGGAAACACGTGTTCAGGCTCCACAGGTGGATGGTTCCGGTACGCTCAAGTCACCACCACCGCCTTCAACAAGTAACTCTGTCCCATCCGCTAGGTCTCCCGGCCACAGGGAAGCCCGGCAGAAGCTCCTCAAGTCGGCGCTTGTTGTTGATGCCTCGGACTGACGTGGCCAAGGATGTTCAACTCATTGGGGGTGAGCTGGTGGTTGGGTTGGCGGTTGAGGGGCTGAAAGCCACGTGTTGACTTCTGAATGGGTGCTTGAGGAGGCAGCGCCGCCATGTTCTACTGTGGCTGCGTGACGCTGGTGCTCAACTTGGCCAGCCCGAGCAACAAAAAAAGAGGAAAATGCGCACAGAAAGTGCTGGCAAATCTTTTCAGAAATTCGAATCTGGTCTGCTCAACATGTGCCAAGTACACGTGCAAGCAATTCCATACTTCAGCCTGTCTGAATGAGATCCAATGTGGTAAGAAGGGGCTGTGGCACAATGGCAGCGCGCCCCAGAATTGCTGGGGAGGTTGCAGGTTCAATTCCTGCCGGCCCTAGTAAACCTCTTCCCTTCCCATCAGTACAATCAGGGTCAAGAACGTGAGGTCTCACTCCCTGAGTTCGCCTTTAAACTTTTTGGCAAAACCTTGTAGTTTGGTGCTCGAGTTAGAGGCTTGCAGCCATGGTGTTCCCCAAGAAAGTGAAAGAAACGGATTTAAATGGCTTGAAACCCGGAGCGAAAACTCCCAGCTCGGAAAACCTCTGATCTCATGCCAACCCCTGTCCAGAGTTCCAAGTTCAGATGGAAATCCCGGCAGGCGCCCTGGAATAAAGATCCAAAAGGGTCACGATCTTGCCAGCTGCAAAATGCGCCCGGGGCTGTGCTATCGAAAAGTCAGAAGGAAACTCGCGGTTCAACCTGACTTGGACCGTCCCATGGCGCAATGGTGGAAGTGGTCTTGCTGGTTTTGACCTGTGTGTGTGTGTGTGTGTGTGTGTGTGTGTGTGAGTGAGTGTGTGTGGGTGTGTGTGTGTGTGTGTGTGTGTGTGTGTGTGTGTGTGTGTGTGTGTGTGTGTGTGTGTGTGTGTGTGTGTGTGTGTTGTGTGTGTGTTGTGTGTGTGTTGTGTGTGTGTGTGTGTGTGTGTGTGTGTGTGTGTGTGTGTGTGTGTGTGTGTGTGTGTGTGTGTGTGTGTGTGTGTGTGTGTGTGTGTGTGAGTGTGTGTGGGTGTGTGTGTGTGTGTGTGTGTGTGTGTGTGTGTGTGTGTGTGTGTGTGTGTGTGTGTGTGTGTGTGTGTGTGTGTGTGTGTGTGTGTGTGTGTGTGTGTGTGTGTGTGTGTGTG